TTTTAGACCAGCTAGAAAACAGCTATAGTGAATTAGAATCACTTGTAGAATTGAGCGATAAGGATTTATGGGAAAATTTGTCAGACACGGAAAGCGACGATTCTGCGACTGAGCTCAGTGATGTGCAAACTTGATGCTCTATTGACGGTGGTAAGGATCAGACAGCACTCCCAAGATTCCTATTTGCTGGATCATCTGATATTAAAGTAGACGTTGAACACAACAACCCCTTGGCATACTTACTATTATTTCTGACCAATGAGGTTATTGAAAAAATAGTTATTGAGACAAACCGGTACAAAGAGCACCAATTAGGTACTCTGCATCAGACGTTTTCAAGAAGCAGAAAGTGGGAACCCGTGACCAAAGATGACATTTGGACATTTCTGGGACTAATAATACTTCAAGTGGTGGGGAAAAGAGAGCATGGTGTAGCGTAAAATCCCACATGCTATGCGAATCGTCAACTGGCTACATTTGGAATTCAGTCATTTAAACTGGAAAAGGAAAAAATTCAATCCAAAATACAGCAACTATGGAATGCAACATCTTCCATTCTTTCACTCATTGAGCCATTGCTAAATCAGAGCTATTGCGTAACAACCGACAACTTTTTTAAGACGTCTCCTGAACTTTGAGTTTCTTCTGCAAACAAAACAGATACCTATGGAACCGTTAGGGCTAACCGACGTGACATGCCACCAATGTTTAGCAATAAGAAGCTGAAGACTGGAGAAATGGTTGTCAGGCAAAAAGGCAAAAGGATGGCACTGCAATGGCGTGACAAGAAAGATGTGTGCCTAATAAGTACAGTTCATAATACCTCCTCTGTTATGGTATGCACGAAAGGTGGGAAAGATATCATGAAGCCACAAGTAGTGATAGACTACAATAACACCATGGAAGGTGTCGACAGAGCCGACCAAGCAATGACATTCTACCCAACAATGAGCAAACAGCAAAAGAAGTACTACTAGAAGATCTTCAGGCATCTTCATGAGCAATGCTTGTGGAATGCCTGCATTCTGTTAAAAAGTGACAAGCCTGTGGTTCATTCTGACTTAATTTGGAAAATTGCCAAACGTATCTTTTTGAACCACCAAACACCATCAATGGCTGTGAATAAAGCTGGACGTCGTGCTGTTGGCATTGTCAACCCAGAATGCCTGACTGGTCGTCACTTCATGGACTACATTCCACCAACCGAAATAAAAGTCAGCACCTACAAGGATGTGTGTGGTGTGTTGTTCAAAGCGAGATGACAGTGGGGAAAAAAAAAGGAAAGGAAACCAGGTTCCATTGTCCTGATTGTGATGTCGCACTTTGTGCAGTCCCAAGTTTGAAAATTTTTCATACCTGGGATGTTTACTAAACCAATATGCAGTGTCTAGTATTACAGTGAATAGTAATATTGCACCCTTGTTTTAAATTTTATCATATCCGGGATGTCTACTAGACTCTTTTTTTGGGCAGATTTAAGTGAGTTATTCCTAAGAATTACAAGCCTACAATATGAAACAACAAATTTACATACAAAACTATGTTCCAATTTAACATTCAAAAATACTGACATAATCAGGCCGACTGAGGTTAATTAGTTAGTACCAATAAATATTTAGGCTGTTTTAGATGTAATATTTACCTGTATTAAAGGTAGGATTAAACACCCCTGGTCTCTCACCAACAAGACAGGCATTTATGTGTGTTTGTTGTTTACTATACAGACCTTTTGTATTGCCAACCTGCGTGTATCATGTTAATTGTCCTCATTAATTTTGATGATTCAGTCCAGTTGAAAGCAAATATTAATGTTCAATTTTATATATGGCTTACTCAAAGTTCCTATTTCGAAAAAAAACATAGTATATAAGTTAATTAATTAGTACATATCTAAGCAGTATTAGGCTTGAATATTGTCAGTCTCTGCCTTAAGACCAGTACATAGTTACATAGCTGAAAAGAGACTTGCGTCAATCAAGTTCAGCCTTCTTCACATATGTTTTTTCTGTTGATCCAAAAGAAGGCAAAAAACCTAGTCTGAAGCGCTTCCAATTTTGCAACAAACTAGGAAAAAATTCCTTCTTGACCCCTAAAGGGAAGGCAGCTATTACCCCACTAATTAGAAATTATATCCCTGTATGTTATGTTTTTGCAAGTATTTATCCAATTTCAGTTTAAACATCTGTATGAACTCTGATAAAACCACCTCTTCAGGCAGAGAATTCCATATCCTTATTGCTCTTACTGTAAAAAAACAAAAACATTTTCTTTGCCTTAGATGAAATCTCCTTTCTTCTAGCCTAAATTTGTGACCTTAAACCACTTCACAACCAAGTCGTTTTTGTTTGCAAAACTTATTTGACTTTTATTTGAAACATCCGGTGCATGGCATTAAATATATGCATGGTCACCATCAGGGTATACAGCCCAACACCCAGTAAGATGCCTGGATAGTTAGAGACCCTGATAAGGCCAATAGGATAGATCTGGCATTCATTATTCCTAATAGGCGGGGAGGAGAGGGAAGGTGTTTATCGTTTTTCAGGGCCAGTACAGTGGGAGACAAGCAAATATAGAAATCTAGTATCTTACATTATAGCTGTACCCTTCCGAACACTGAGCCTGTATGGAGCTGCTAAGAATGTGCAGAGTGCAAACACAATGAGGAGTCATCCGGCAGGGATCCGATACAAGGATAAAGATGGAGGGAAAGGAGAGTAAATGGGTAGAGAGAGACAGCAGGAGAAGAGGAGAGTAGAGGATGATATAATGGCAGGTACTGAAGTGGGGAATTGGATACATCTGGTATAAAGAGAGAGACACAAGTGGTGGAATAGATCAACAATTAACATTATAGAGTGTACTAGATCAGTGACAAGTGTGGAATGGGATAGAGGAACAAAATATGGAATCGACTGCTGGTAGAGACAAGTGCGAAATAAAAAAAATGTGGATGGGAAGATATAAATTATATAAAATGTCACACAGTAATGTTCATTAAAATACACTTCACACTAATGTACCACTATTTTCACACTCACACACATACTCTGCAGTTACACAGTGAACACACACAACAAATACATTCCTGCATTTACACAGATACTCCACTACACAAATGACACTGCATTCACTAACCTTGAAACGATACACAAATAAACTTAATTTAGACGCACATTGTCAAGCTTTACACACACATTTACAATCTTGCACTTATCACAAAGGCAATCTCTAGAATCCAGATTATTTTTCAGCTGTTATTTTGCTTTTTTGTTTTCAGTTTTTTTGTTAATTATCCATTTTGTTATGCTAAGCAGATGTAGTTTGTTCACTAAACAATTATTTTATTGAATCAAATGCTGAATTAGAGAATTCAAGTTAAAATAGCCAAGCTATGACAAAATTTAAGGATTTTTCCAAATTGGCTACCTTGGTCTGTATTGTGCAGTTTGTGTTTTTAATTAAGTACATTTACACATTTATTGAATAAACCAGTATGTATTAATGCATGTGAAAGAGGCCTAGGGCATATATTTGCCTGGTGGGTGTGATAATTGTGATAAAATCCAATTAACTAATTAAGAATGATTGATCACTAATGAGCAAATTAATCTATTATAGATAGTTAAGATGACACTTGGCTTAAACTGTGTCGCACTAAGAAATTCAACCTGTGTCACACTAAGAATTTCAGCTATGATGACATTGCATAAAATGCTTAAACTGTGTCGCACTAAGAAATTCAACATTGCCTGGAATATTCCATAGCATGTCTGGCCAATATCCAAAAAGGCCCACGTGCTGAACAGAGGGAATTGGTGCCAACAAATGTAGAGAAAGATAAGAGTTGGGACATAGATAGAATAAGTGGTTGGTCAGAGTCCATACAGATGTTTAAACTGAAATTGGATAAATACTTACAAAAACATAACATACAGGGATATAATTTCTAATTAGTGTGGTAATAGCTGCTTGATCCAAGGAGACATCTGACTGCTATTTTGGGGTCAAGAAGGAATTTTTTCCTAGTTTGTGGCAAAATTGGAAGCGCTTCAGACCAGGTTTTTTGCCTTCTTTTGGATCAACAGCAACAACATTTGTGAGGAAGGCTGAACTTGATGGACGCAAGTCTCTTTTCAGCTATGTAACTATGTAACTATATGTAACTATGTAACTGCGCATGGGGGAATGGGAATACCCTGACGACTCAGAAGAAGTAGTGACTATTAATGTTTATCAAAAATACTACACTGACCGTAACTACCAACCGAATATCCGACCTAGTAGTTATGTAAATACCATGGCATTATCTCCTTTTTACACAGGATGGAGTTTTGACTATTTTAATGGGACTGAAACTGGTGAGAAAAGAACCGAGGGCAGATGGAAATGTGTCCTAGGAGAAGGCGAGGCAGAGACTATAAGTCGATGGTGGCATAAAATAGTAGGTACAGGATTGTTTAGCCCTTATTTCACATTTAAACGTTCTAATGTAAGCTGTATAAACCACCCCATCCCTTCAAGAGGATTTTATTGGCTTTGTGGGAGATGGGCTTATAAAAAAACTCCCATGTAAAATGAAAATTGATTGTACCTTGGGAATGGTGATGCCTGCCATTTACCCTACTAAAACTTTACCTGAAAACACCCATCATCATTGGCAAAAGCGAGAAACCAATTTATCAGGATTCAAAATGGATAGAAACATGCAGTTTTGGGTCTCTCTCTTTCCAATGGTGGGGGTGGGAATGATGATAACTAATCTAAATCTTTTTAATGATACTATTGATGATGCCTTTACTAGCACAGGACTTGCTATCAGTTTGCTTAATTATGAGCAAGAACAGATTAGACAGGTAGCTTTGCAGAACAGAATAGCCTTAGATTACTTGCTTGCAGCAGAAGGAGGAGTATGCAAAAGAATAGGAGGCAAAGCATGTTGTGTGTGGATAGATAAGTCAGGGAAAGTTAAGCATGAGCTTCATCATTTAGAAGAGATACAAAAACGCTTTAGAAAACCACTAACCACAGACGACTTGGAACACTGGCTAGCTAATACTACACGAGACTTTGACTGGACATTTGGTATAGGATCATGGATAGGAGGACTTGGGATGAAAATATTAAAGGGAATTGTGTGGTGTGTTTTTATTATACTTTGTGTTTACCTATGCTACAAACTTACCATTTGCTGCATTCAAAGAGTAGCTACATGTAAAACAGATGCCAGGATAGAATTAGAAGAGTGACAAATGCTTTTATAGATAGATCAGATGACCTTAAGATTAAGGATGTTAAGCGGGAATAGGCATGTCCTACGGGTGACCCTTGACTCGAAGAGCTTTATTGCATGAATTGGTTCCAGGTGTGAATGGAACAATATGGGGATCAGTGGGAAAATGGGCTTGCCCCCTGCTGATAACCTGAATGGCACGCGTAAATGTGTAAGGTTTTGCTCACTTAGTGATCAAGGGATGGAATGTGATAATTGTGATAAAATCCAATTAACTAATTAAGAATGATTGATCACTAATGAGCAAATTAATCTATTATAGATAGTTAAGATGGCACTTGGCTTAAACTGTGTCGCACTAAGAAATTCAACCTGTGTCGCACTAAGAATTTCAGCTATGATGACATTGCATAAAATGCTTAAACTGTGTCGCACTAACTGTGAATTCTTATCTGCAACTTGTTCTCTGTGTGGTTTCTTTTTCCTATAGCCCAAGACACTCATCTCAAACTGGGTTGTGTGCCCGCCAATATCGCTATAAACCTTATTAGGTAATTGATTATTACTTTTTGGATATGGGTGCTTCATGAATTTAATGATTTGGCACAACAGGGGGCCAGACTGCTGTTACTCCACGCCTGGACATTGTGTTGCTTTGTGTTTGTGGGAGTGTGTTTCTGGGGGTGAGGTGCCCAGCTGATGGTCTTGTAAGAGTCCCTGAGATTTCTCATAGCTTTCCTGAATGTATGGTAAACCAGACATTTCGTAGATATATTGCTCTTCACAAACATAAATTATGCAAATTTACACATTGTATGATATTTATTTATTAATGCTTTATAGAAATATTGAAGGAATGAAAAAGTTTTAGGCAATATACAGGAGGTCTGAAATATTAGTTTAAAAGCAGAAATAATTTTTTTTCTAGCTATGACATAAACAAATAACCATGATCTAATACCATTCTTATAGGTATTTATATGGTCCCTGATGCATTACTGGCAGTGCCATTTAGCCCAAAAATGTCTACGTAATGTAGAAAGAATATTTGACTTTAGATATAATGCCCACACACATAACTACATTTAAGTCAAATATTTCTGAAATAAAGATCCTGGAGAGAATCAGTAGCTCACTGTTCTTGGGTAGAGAGAAGGGGCATAAAGGAGATCCTCTCTGTTAGTGAAGAGCTCCTGGTCTTTCAGGAAATTCCTAACACCCCTGCCGACAGCCATCATAAACGTTTTTCCGCAACACACTACAATGTGGCCCACTATTGCAAAAAAGTGGTATACAATCTCTTACAAACCCCCTCCTATTTATCCCCAGGTGAAAAAAGCAAAATATTGACAATGTGGTAACTGCAACACTCCTAGTGCTTGTGTTTTGCTCTGTCTATTGATTTGTCCAGTGGGACAATTTAGTTTTTACTTCTGAGAAACTATGTTTACCATTATATTAGCAGCAGCAAGAAATAAACTAAGACATATGCTTCAGGGCTGAAGTACTCAATGCTTTAAACCAAATAATTATTTAACCAAAAATCCAGATAGATATGTTAACTTTGGATTTAGCAACACAGAAATATCACAGAAGTATTGTTTTAAGAGGGATATAGTTTTTGTGATACTAGGTTGACCTAATAAGGGGTTGTCATGGATCGTTTTTTAGAATTTATTTTCTTAGAGTGGGAGGAATGAAAAGACGGTTGTTTAGATAATAAGATCAACTTGTGTGAGTATGTTTAGTATGTCTGTAGGTAGAGAGGAAAGTTCTGGGTCTCACATTCTGATATCATCTGAAAAGATTGCAAAGAGCAAGAAAAAGTAATGGGAGAAAGAATGTAAGTGGACATATTGAAAGTGAATCAGCTTTCCCATATTTTGAACCAGGTTGATATACATCACATGAAAACAAACCTGTCAAGAAAAAAAGAAAAAGGGCCAACAGGAATTGAAGTCTTTTTTTTTCAAATGTTTGGATTTCAAATATTTAAGATTTTTATGATCTGTATATACAAGGAATGGATTTTAGGTTCCTTCGAGTAAATGATTTTATTAATCCAAGGAGGCTTTAATAACTAGGAGATCCTTTTCTCTTATGGGGAAATTTCTTTCAGCAGGAGTTAGGTTTCTAGAGAAATAGGACATAGAATCAATGGAACCATTTACTTTGTCTTGTTGGGACAGGATAGAAGCAATGACAAAATCTTAAGTGTTAGCTTCAAAAATATAAGGAAGTGTCAGGGACCAGGAACCAGGCAGAGACAGAATGTAGATGCAAAACACCTTAAAGAATAGCAAAATGAAAATAATCCAAAAGCAAAGTCCAGGAGGAAAGCAGGGGTCAGGCACCAGAGCGGGTAGTCAGACGAGCTGGAATTAGGAGAACAGAGAGCAGCAGAGTCAGGGACCAGGAAAACACAGGAAATCTTCTGGGAAACAGGAAACCATGCAAGGCTAAGGAAGTACTGGGACTTGCTGCTTAAATAGGCTGCATTGTTCTCCGTTGTTGGAATTAATGTAGGACTCACTGATATTGGGGAACTGTGACATAGTGGTGGGCTTAACACAATATGTCCATATGGTGGGACTGAATCCCCAAATTGTTTGCTGAGATAGGTGATTTTAAGTTTCCTTATAACTTTTAAACTGTATTTTTTGTGTGCGCGCTGTTCTTTAACCTGAATTATGTATACATTTTGGTCTGTACTGTAGCACCATTCCTGTAAAATGCATGTTTTGGGTGTGTCCCCAATTCCCTCTTTGTAGTTACCATGAATCCTCATGCATTTTATATTGTGCTCAGGGGTTTCTACCACACTATATCAATGTGGCTACATTTTAAGTTTATTGAACATGGTTTCCTCACTGGTTCACACATGCCTTCATGCTCATATGGTTTTTAAATTTTTTGTTACATCTGTTCTAATGTGCTTGCATATTCTGTCTAATGTCTAATAGTACACTTCTTTCTGGTTGATACATAGTGGATGCACATATTGTTTTTTTGGTTTTATTTATTTTGACTTATTGCTTGAATTCAACCCTCACTCTTTTGGTGATTCAGATGCATCTCGATCTCCTGGTTCGTGGAATGTTTGGCCTCACAGCCTGTCTTTCATGGAGCCTCTTTCTCATGGTGCCTTGTGTTCTACTCCCAGGCTATTTAACTGTGTTTGTGCTCTTTCTACGTTGTTTTTTTTTAAAGTCCACCTGAGGACTGACACATTGACCTGCGTGTGGGGTTTTTGGATTAATAAACACTACTAGTACTAATGTAGTTCTGCCTGCAGATGGCAGTGGAATACTACATATGAAACAACCATGTCTGCTTAATCAGTTTTGAGTAGGATGCAAACAAATCTTTAATTTGATTTTCATATTTCTTTAAATGCTTTATTAATTTAACAATTAAATGCTTGTATGTTTGTTTGGATATATATATAGGGCCAAAATATATATAACATTTAATACTATATGTTTGCTTATTTAAGAAATAATGCTGGTAATTATGAGAGGAACTGCATGTTGTCATTTTAGTGCTTTTTCTAAACCCCCAACTTTTATATTGTATTGTTAGTAAGTGTGTGTATATATATGTGTATGTGTATATATATATATATATATATATATATATATATATATACAAAGATGCTCTTGGCACTCACCCATTAACTGAAGTTTTCCTTTATATCTTTGCCTGGGTGCAGACCTCAGCGTAAGTGATGAATATATATATATATATATATATATATATATATATATATATGATAGAGTTTTAACATTGCAATCCATATTTAACAATGTAATGTCTAGTGTACAAAGCGCCTTTCATTTTTATCATTTGTAAACACATTCTTACATGTTCACACAAGCAGTATTCTATTCTAGTAAGTACATATTAATTACAGATTGTACAGTATCGTCCGTTAAAATCCAACAAACTCCTTTAACATTGTTTAGAGCTAGGACAGTAATATTAAATATATGTAACCAGTTGCGTGCAGTGACACTGCAATTGTATTTATAATTGTTACGTTGTTGTCAGATTAGTGCACAGCTATCATTCAATTATTTTATTGTATAGTATTCACACAATAAGACACGTAATTATTACATTCACATTATCAGAGTTATTCTCTAAAATCTGAATGTCCCTGTGCCAAATGGGTCAAAACCACCCTCTGTTGTGCAGGCCCATTCAGACCGCAAACTTCATTCATACTATTTAACAATGTCCAGATCTTGCAGAGAAGGCACTAAATGAGCCTAAATATGGTCCGGATTTCGGCTGGACAGAACACCTCTGAACCTAAAAGCTTAAAATGCAGGCTCAGATGCTTCAAATCCTAAAGTCCCCACCCCAGCCACCACCCATTGGTGATGGTTGTGGGCTCTAATTCTAATATTCTGGGAGGCAACATAAGGTCCCTCTCCAAGCACCCACCTATGAGCAGAGGGTAGGTTCTCTAAATAATTATTCAATGAGAGGGTGGACACCCTGGGTGGCTAAGGGTACACAATCACCTTGTCACCTCCCCTTAAATACATTAACATTACCTACCACCTCTCACTATTATTATTCTTAACCCCTTCAGGACGGAGTCAATAGTACATGTTCTGATCAAAACAAAATGTTAACAAAACTTGGAATTTGCGCTATATGTCTGTCCAACCGTAATTCACCTCTTTCATATTACGTGCACCCACACTTCATAATTTATTATGAATTATTCATATATGAAACATAACTTATTATGAATAAATATTTAAAAAAAACGGTTTGAAATTATTTAAAAAAAAAAAAAAGTGTAGTTCCGCCTGACATTTTTGCGGTAAATGTCATGATACTGTTCGCTTTTACTGCAATAAAATGCACACATTTGTATTCAGCAATGTCTCATGAGTAAAACAGTACCCCCCTTAACAGATTTTACAGTGTTTTGGAAAGTTACAGGGTCAAATATAGCACATTCCATTTTGCTTTTTTTTCACATAAAAATTTGCCAGATTAGTAATGTTACCTTTGAGACCGTGTGGTAGCCCACGAATGAGAAATGAGAATTACCCCCATGATGGCATACCATTTGTAAAATCACAAACACTGGCCAAAGTAAGCGTTCATATTTATTTGTGTGAAATAAGCAAAAAACTAATATTTGGCCAGTGTTTGTGACTAAGTGGCTACTAAAAATGACTGGACATACATACCCCATTTGCAATACCTTGGGTTGTCTACTTTTGCAAATGGTATGCCATCGTGGGGGTAATTCTCATTCGTGGGCTATCATACGATCTCAAAGGCAACATTACCAAACTGACAAATTTCAATGTGAAAAAAATGAAA